GTCTCCATTATTAATATAAACCTTCCAGGCAAGTTAATTTTCCATAAATTATGCAGGTAAATTAGCCTCCATCATTAGCCATCTCTATTGTCAAAATAAGAGTGTTTGTGGTTTTACCACGAGAGGGCGTGTAAGGTTTTTTAGTATTTTGCCATTTTGATTCCTGTTCACTAGACACCGAGTGAGATTCAAATAAATAATAGGTATTTACTTCCAAAATATGTTATTATATTAAGTAATATTGGTGCATGTTGTAGGTAAGAGTGGGTGTCAGTAAGTAAGAGTCGGTAACGGAATAGCTATAGGCTTTGGCCGAAAGATTGACCTGAAAATACGTCTGCCTCCTGCTACTTCTCAATGCTTGTTCCTCCAGGCAATCATTTTCAAACCTGGGTTTCCAAAGGTATATTCTTAAGTGAAAGCAGCTTAACCTTTGGGGGGAATGTTTTAATGCAAACTCTTCATTCTGGAGAAAATTTGGTAACTTTTGCTTAGCTGCCTGGTTTTTGAAATAGACATTTGCAAACCGGCCTTAATACTCTGCTGTGCTGTTGCAGACCTGAAAAAGCACACTCAGTTTGCTGTGCAGCTCTTTGGAAAGCTGCTTTTATTTCTCCTTAAGGCTATGAAGTAACACAATATCCTAAAATGTTACAGACTGGGCTAAATCCTGTTGTCGCCAGTGCAGACTCACTGACTTCCATGGGAGCTTTGTCTGTATAGGGAGTTCAAGATCAGGCCTTATAAAAATACAAGGGTAAAGTTCAACACTTGGTGATATTATTATGGGTGGAAAAGAGAGGAAATGAAAAAAGAAAACCCATAGAAATGCAAGTCATGTGAAAACATTTTAACGTTAAGATTTCCATGGTTTCTTTCTGTGGGGAAGGTCTCACTTCTGTATATTCATGACAGCCGATGCATACACAGTATCACTATCAAAATGAGCGTATTTTGTGCCTCCCTTCTATCCCAGTTTAGGAACATTCCTCCCAGTTTGTCTGGGACACCATTTCTAATGGTTCAGTAGAGCTCCTGGTATTGGGTATGAAGATGGACGGAGGGTTACAGTAGAACTTGAAGACAAGACAAAAGTATGGCATAACCTATGGCTCAAATGAGGAATGTTAACAAAAAATGTGCAGCATGCAGTACTTTTTGTCTGAGATTATTACAACAATAACATGAACCCAACCTAATGGTGTCTGCACTATATATTACAAGTAGCTCTTTATGATCGTTCCCCCTCCCCTTCTCAAACATCCTGATTAGGCCTATTTCCGAAGCTTGTTTGAACAGCCTGTCACTATTTGTTTAAGTTTCAAACCTGTTTTAAATAAACACATGTCCATTTTATGTACTAAAACAAGGAGAGGGGGGGAGGGAAATATGACCCGTTGCTGAAAACTATTTTAGCACAAAGAGAACCCTAAACAGAATCTCAACTGTTTCATAAGGTTTGTCTCCTTCTGTAAACGCATGTATTTGTCACTGGATTTTTGTCGCCTAAACTGGTCTGTTTAAAATAAGAGAATCTCTGCTAAAACAAATAAGAGCAGGAAAATTGCTTGAAACACTTGATGTCCTCTGAAAAGCACTCTTTATAATGAAAGCAAGGGTCCCCTTGGCAAATAGACTGAGGCAAGTTCTGGCTTGGTCAACCTTTCTGGAAGTCTTACACAATTGGAAAGAAAATGGTTGCAGGCCTTGCTTTTAAGACCTACCTATTCAAAATTTAATGGAAAGTTATATCCTGGATGTAAAATTATATCAGGGCAGTTAAAAATTATATGGAAAAGAACTCTTCATTCAGGTCTGTAAGTTTTTAAAAAGTAATTTCTTACGAAGCTTTTATTAAGTCAAATCAGTCTATTGCTGGTTTACTATGCAACCTTACATTGACTGTTCCTGTGAAGCAAGAAATGTGGCAGTGGGGAAGGGAAAGATGCTCTGCCTAAGCTCCTCTTAGTACTAAAGCACCCGAGATGCCTGTCTCACCTACCTGGACTTGATTGGCAGGCCAGGAAGATTGCCCTGAGGGCACCCCTCACTGCCCTCTGCCTGTTGAACTATATGCAGGGAGGACATGGCATGTTCCTGACCGAAGTTCCTGGGATTTGCAGGGAGCCCAGGCCAAAAGTGGAGTTTGTCACCCTCGGAGGATTAGGAGGGTAATAGTGCACTGAGTCAGGGCAGTCTCAAAACAAAGCAGCCAGATCACACTACCC